CAGATATCCTTGAATATTTGGGGAAAATATGAAAGGTCATCTCAGTTTCTTAAACATGTAAGTAAATTTTTTTCTACTTAATTACATGTCTTGAACTGCTTCCAAATATTACTTAGTTAGAAAGAGTATGCCCTAGTAATTCTGTTAATGTCCAGATTTTCCTGCCCCTGCAACTCTTTACCCTATCCTTACCTGTACTCCCAAACATGATTATTTAAAAATCTTTAAGTCTATTTTTTCTGTAAATAAAAGAGACAGAGAGACAGCACCCCAATAGTCTTGATACAGCTTCAGCTGGCCCCAGCTCATTCTGCATTAAATACTTATCTACTGTAGAAAAAAAAAAAAGATTGCTTGGATATAGTTTGAAACTATTTAAAATGAGGAAGCAGTTTGCCTGAGGATAGCAATTCTTCAGAACTGTTTTACTTTTTAAACCCCAAAGTAAGGACAGAGTGTATGTCAGCCTGCTTTCCGACCACCTTTTTCCTCTGGGCGACTGCTTTATCTTGTTAGCTGGGATGGCGTTCGTGCATTTCTACCCTTTTGTAGCAATTGAAACTTTTTGCTCAGTGAAGTGGTGGCTCCTATCCCAAGCATCTACCATGCCGGTAGCCCAAAACACATGTCAAACTGAACAAATTCTATTGTTCATATTAGACTAACTTGGGGGAATAAAAGTTCAGGGCCAACGCTAATCAATTTAGGATTAATTAGAGCTGCATACAATAATGATTTGCTACTGATCGACTAAAAGCATGCATTTTGTCCCTTGGTGCAAGTTAAAATGGGAATGGGAATGGGGCTATGGAAACTTCTACCCAGACATGTAGAAGGTTCCAACTTACTCGTAGGAGACAGGGAGACAGAAGGCAAAACCTGAATCTCCTGGAGAACCTGTCTCTCATAGAAAATATTTAGCATTTGGCTTAGCTAATCCCTAAAATATGTGGCTGGAAAATTCTACATTTTTAAAACAGGCACATGACTGGCTCAGCTGAGTAAGCGGAGACCATGTGAGAGGCCTGAGTTCGGTTTCTGTTCTGACCTAATCAGGCCGGTGTGGGGGCACATGCCTATGGTCCTAGCTCACTGGGAGGCTAGGACAGGAAGGACCACAGTGTGGAAAAACTCTGTCAAAAATACCTATCTCATTCTCTCTTATGAAAACTTTAAGCTAAAAAGACAGCTGGCCATAGTTTGTTAGCTGTATTTAAGCAGTACACACCGTGAGCATGTACTGCCTGTCCAGGAGGCCCAGCCTGGACTTTGCTGCCCCCAATGTCCCAAATGTGTGTGTTGGGACAGCTGATCTCTTTTTGTCCCATAGAGAATCCTTACCATTTGAGACATGGGAGCCCCATGACGATTTTGGAGTTACTCTTTCATGTACTGATTGATTTCCATCTATTTTCCATTCTAAAATACTGCCTGGCACCTATTATTCAAACTAAGTGGGCTACAAATTAGCTTTCTTAAAATATCAATTCATGGGGCCAGTAGGTGTCATGGCGGTTAGGGCGCTGGACTCCCACATGTCCGACCACGGTGCAAACTTCAGACCTGGTAGCTTGCTTTCTCACTTTTCCTCTCTCTCCCTCTTTGTCTCTCTCTGGTGAGCTTGTGTGTCCTATAGCAAAATTAAAAATAATAATAATAATAAATAAAATGAACTAAATCTAAAAAACTTTAAAACAGTCCATGTAAATATGTGGCTAATTTATTATTTCTAAAGTGAGACTAAGACAATAAAAATCAAGTATGCACACAAAAAAGATAAAAGTTATGATGTTCAATCTTATTCTTTTAGAGAGAGATTTTTTGCCATAGGGCATGTGTGTTTGCTGAAGAGACAGAGAGACAGAAAGCAAGAAATCTCTCCCCCCCCAGGGGGGGATGGCCATGCTGTAATCCCTTCTCCTCCATTCTCCTCTCAGAATTTTGGGCATGCACACATGCATGCCTGCTGTGAGTTTTAAGGTGCCGGGACTGGGATTCAAACCATGGTTGACTATGTGGGAGTCCAGCGACATAAGCATTATGCCATCTGCTGGTCCTATATTCAATCTTAAAAATGAACATTTGCTGTAATAATAGCAGGAGTCAAGAGGAAGAATTGCTTCTCAGACCTTGAATCTCGAAGAGTATCTGGAGGGGTCATCACCAATATTCCAATTTGCAGTTACCAAAATTCCATTGCCTCTTTTTAATGAGAGAAAGTAACTTCTGGGAGACTAAGTCATCCTAAAGGAATTTATTTATATACAAGAATGTAAATTTATTACCTTACAACAAAACTAAGAAGTTAACTAAAATTCCCAACTGAACTGCTCAGTAAATTGTATTTTCTATAGGAAATTTTCTTTATAAAACTGAATCAATAGTAGAAGGCCACTGTAACCATAATTTTATAAAATAGTTATACAACCTCCTGGGACAATTAAAATAATAAAATTGAAGAGTATTATTCCCCATCTCCATGGTCAGACTTCATTACTGAGTATTTACTAAGTCCTTAGTGCAGGAGATAATAAAAATTCAGTGAGTTTTTATTACTGAATCTTCATATTTAGAACAACTTATCAGTCATTATATACTTTAGTCCTGTGGTACTATAATTTCTCATGTAAAATGTAGCATTTTCTAATATTATAATTCTCCCAATAATTATATTTTGAAATGCTTTACTTATTTTACAAAGCACTAGAAGTCACTTGTTTAGATTTAGAAAATATAGTCGAACAATCTAATTATAAATGTCTTCTTTGGAGGATATTTCTTAAGGAAATGTCAAGTCCAATTATGTTCATGTTGGTTATTGTTAACTTTTGTTTCTTAACAGTGTTCAGAAGCATGCCTTATTCTGAATTTAAAACTCTTACACGAGCATAGAAGTGAACCAAGATTGGTTAGACAGGCAAGTAACTTAACAACGACCTATCAGATCTCGAGTATTTGTTGAAATGTTGATTTTTGTGGTTTAAATGGGAACCCTAATTTAGTCTTTTATTTTTTTCAGTTTTTCTCCAAGACAGGATTTATCTACAAAACTCTTGTTTGTCTGTTAGATATGTGTGCAGGAATGTTGAGAACTGTGTTCTCAGTTTTCAGTATTTACTAAGTATTTACAGTCATTGTAAAATGCGATGAAAATTCTCTTGACCAAAATTTCTCTTCTTACTTTTCTCCATAGTTACCTAAATTTTCATTATACTTTTTTTTTTTTTTTTGAGAGGTTTTCACTATAGGGCGCGTGCGCTCGCCAGATAGACAGACAGAGACATAGAGACAGAAAGCGAGAAATCACCCCCCAGGGGGGATGGTCATGCCGCAATCCCTTCTCCTCCATTTTCCTCTCAGGATCTTGGGCACGTACGCACACGCACCCGGCGTAAGTTTTAAGCCAGCGGGTCCGGGACACGAACCGTGGTCGACTACGTGGGAGTCCAGCAACGTAGCCATTACGCTAACTGCTGGTTCCCCATTATACTTATTTTTAAGGGATTAAAAATGATGATCATGACCTTGTCTTCTAATTAACTTATTTCTTTGAATCTCTACATAGTACCTACCATGATAATATGCATATGTTCCAGGTGAGCTTTAAATGAGGAAGACAAAGTATCTTCTAGTTATTGAGACCTCAGCTCATATTAGTTTACCTGAGAGGCCCTGAGGAGAAAGGAACACCAAAATCAGCAGGGATGGGAACTCTGAGCCCCCTGGACTGCTCTGGACTTCCTTGTCAAAAGGAGGTTCTTCATAGAGGTGTTCTGTTGATCAGTTTCCATAGGAGGAACTTAGTGTCTTCCTGAGGTGGCCTAGCAGAAAAAAGTCTGGGCTTTTGAGGCTACAGCCTTGGAATTGATTCCAGCTCTACAATTATCCAGCTGTGAGATTTTACACTAATAACAACCTCAACTTCAGTTCCTGACCTGTAAAATGGAATAAAGTGGTAACCTATCCCGGCCTCGTGGAACCCTCTTTTCTCTCTGGCTACCTAAGATTAGGTCTGGCCAAGCTGACATTAGTCAGCTCTTTCAGGGCTCCTCGTTCCTATCATCCACACCAGTTCATATCCGCCAGGGACCAGCACAGTAAAGGTTACCACTTCAAACAGGAAAATAGTCTATTTCTTTAATTAAAGAAAAATCCTCATTACAGTCTGATTTTTCTTTTAAATAGCATAGAGGTAAACATCAATTCAGCCTACAGAAATATTTCAAATTAATGTAGACTAATGTGAATCTAGCTCCTTATGACTTCTCACAATTCAGATCAGTTGGTACACATCTGAGTACCCTTTTCAAGGTTACAATTTGCAGAATTGCAATAGGGCAGATTTTCATTGCTGTTACTCTAAATTTTCTGATTATCCAAAAATAGATTTTTGTGGTTATAGAATAAAAAGTGGAACAGAGTGGTAGGTTATTTATTTTTCTTATGATCTAATCTCTGCATGTTACATATTATTGCTTTTTTGGTAGTGTTCTTGCTTTTGTTTTTGTGTTTCCTTTTTTTTTTTTTTTTTTTTGAGAGAGATTTTTGCTATAGAGCACATGTGCTCACCAGAGAGACAGAGAAAGACAGAGCGACAGAAAGCGAGAAGTCACTCCCCCCAGGGGGTATGGACATGTTGTAATCCCTTCTCCTCCGTTCTCCTCTTGGGATCTTGGGCATGCACCTGGCATGAGGTTTAAGGCACTGGATCCAGGACCTGAACCACAGTGGACTCTGTAGGAGTCCAGTGACATAAACATTACACCATCTGCTGGTCCCTTGCTTCTGGTATTTTAAACTATCTTTTAACCATTCAGTTAATGTTATATATTACACAGATGTCTGAAATTATTTGAGTGTGGTGTTCAGAGAAACCTAAATAGAACTGGTTTTAAAAATCATTATTTTTTTGGTTTTCCAAAACTTGATAAAATGACTTCTCCACTTTTATTTATTTATTTTTTTACTTCCATAATAATGTTCTTGATTCACCCTTTCCTGTGCCCTTTTAAGGCTGCCGCAGTGCTTTAAGAGGCTAACACAGAAGGGTAAAGTAAGTCTCCATAAAACCCAGAGAAGAGATGATCAACTCCTCTTTGGATCCTGTCTGGAGTCACAGCTGAAAAAGAAAAAAATAAGAATGTTCTTGATTTCATTTTTTGAGGTCGATATGTTGCCTCCTATCTATATGAAATTCACTGGAGCAAGGCCCTAAGTACATTTGTCAAACGTCCAATTTGGTGATAACCAAGTTAACGAGTAACATTTGTTATTAATTACATCAGTGAAAACATCATAATCTTACAACTCTAGCTTGAGCCTAATAGAGGAGGAGGTTTGAGGGATGAATATTCACAAGCAATTAATAGACCACTCTTTAGAAAAAAAATGCTAAAAATCATTTTAATAGCCTCTTTGCATTCTAACCAGACTTCAGCAATTCAAACCATATCTAGCTAGGAAAAAAAAATGTAATTGAGTCCTTAAAATTAAATCCAATGAACTTGTCTTTGCAGAAGGTCAAGTAATATACTCTCATGAAAGAAAACTCTTCTTCATTTAATGCATCAGTTATTAAAAAGGTGTTCTTTTTTCCTGTTTGGGTTCTGTCTCTCTTTTTTTATTACTGCATATTAAAGTAACTGTCTTGCCAACATGCAAATGATATGCTAACTGAACATGGCTAGGATGAAAGTGATGATGAAAGGGCCAAAGAGACCTATCAGCTACATTATTATGGCTAAACAACAGAAAATCACTGAGCTTCCAGAATCTTCCTCTATTCCTTGCTTACACAACTCAGAAACAAGTGAAAGTTAAAACATAGTAAATTATTTTTTCTCTTTTTTTTTGAGAGGATATCAAAAGAATATTATAGAACCTTAGATTTTAGCCTTTCCTTTTTTAGTACAAAATTCAGACACCTCTGCTGTTTCTCTGTGTGTTTTTAAGTACTGTGAGTATGTGTATTTATGTGTATACGTGTGTGTGTGTGGGGGGGGTGGAGAGATAGAGGGAGTGAACAGGAGGAAAGGCCAAAGAACTATACTTTCTTACCTCTGTTGTGACAGGAAATGAAGTAAATGGTCATTGAAATCTTGTCATATGCTACTAGACCTTTTGCATATTTTATGGCATTTAATCCCTATTATCTTTAATTTAGAACTGAAGAAATGAAGGCTCATTGTCCAAACTATTTGTTCAAGACCATAAGCTACTAGTGGCGAGTGCCTTATCTTACTGACTTTGAAGTCCATGGTCTTTTCATTGTGTCATTTGAGCCAAAGGCATGTGTTATCTAATTTTTGGTAAGGAATATCCATTTAAATCTTACTAAAGTGACTCAATATATCATTATTATTGTACTTTCAAACATAGTGAAGATGAAGGAGATGGATATGGCTGTTGCTTGATAATTACATATTTGGTGTGTGTTTGTGGATACATTTCCTTGATGAATTAAGTCTTCATGTCCTACAGAAAATAGCCACCTGTAAACCAGAAACTGCAGAAACTTCATCTGGGTTAGTTGGTATGACTTCTCTTCTGTGTCTGGTTTTAGTTATTGGGTAATTGGTCCCTTCTAAGGATAAGAGAATCTGTAGAGGACCAGGGTGTGAGAAAGTCCAGCATCTTAAAGTCTCTACTGGTTGAGATAGAAAGTTTCAAGTAAGAGAAACAAAGCTCAGCTCAGAGGACAGTGTTTGTGACCAAAGGTCTTAGGACAAGAAAATGCCCTACATGATTAGGTTGGTGGTATCTGAGCCCTGTGACTGGCTATTTTTTTTTCTTCCTCCTCTCATCTCCTCTTCTCTCTTTTCCATTTCTCCTCATCTCTCCCTTCCACTTCCCTTTTGTCCCTTCTTCTCCCCTCCCCTCGTTTTCTTGCTGTTCTTTTTTAGATTATCAATATTCATTTCTACCATGAGTAAGAGTGACAGAGAGAGATACCTGCATCAATAAAAAATATGCAATTTCAGACTGAAGGAGTCCAGTGAAATGAATGAAATTTTAAGCCACTGCAAGTAATAGGAATATTCTTTTCTTTCTCCTTTCTTCCTTCCTTCCTTCCTTCCTTCCTTCCTTC